TGCTGCTTCGCGGTTGCACAGAAGGACATGGGAAGCGGGAGACTATTTGGATCACACAGATCGCGGAGAAGGAATGAGCTTATACAGTATTACCTGTGGATTCAGAAACTTCTGAATAAGGCCAGCCACCTCTTCTAGCAGGGAGGTGTCTGGGGAAGCCATATACCAAAAGGCAGTAACTGATGGCAATCAGAGACCAGGCATTATTGGTTGAGCTGAAGCCCGACAACCAATGAAATGTTCTTGGAAACTGCTCAGTGATCAGGCTGAGGACTGGACTGGGACTCCTAAGTGGCTTTCTGCTGAGGGTCTAACCAGGGGAAGGGAGAAGCCTTGATTTGTAGCATTGGCCAATTTCCATGTGATAAGTATTCCCACTGGGATAGACTTCAAACTATAACATGATGACTGTGAACATGGAGTTGAGAGGAAATGTGCAGGAGCCCTGTGTTCTAGACTGTCTTCAGCACACAGACACAATCCTTACAGTAAAACCCATGAAAGCTGGACCCTGTGTAAGGCAGAAACCTGTCACAAAAGGAAGACGCAAATATTTTCCACTAACAGTGAGCGATAGGGAAGTGGTTAAGACTGCACCCTGTCGAAGGCAGAAAACTTGTCAGATGGGGAAAATGAAGGCAGTCTCATGGAGTTGGGGCTCTTGCAGGTTTCACTCAATATGGACAATAAACACCAAGAGCATAGAGCTCATTGCCACCAGCCAGTTCAAGCCCACGGCCACCCCTGAGCATAGACTATAGTAAAAGAGACGGACTACAGTAAATGCAGTAGAGCAATTAATTAGAAGGCAGTAAGTTTTGAGTGTGTATTACCTTTGCTTTTAATACAAAATATAATTTCGATGTAAGTTTAAATAATTTAATTTTTAAAAAAATTTTATTGTGATTTAGGTGAAAGTTTACAGAGCAAATTCACTTTTTTTTTTAAATTGTGATTTGGGTGAAAATTTACAGAGCAAATACACTTTCCATATAGCAGTTCACATACACTTTGTCTCATGACATTGACCACAATTTACCACAATGCAACTTCTCCCCTCCTACTTCCTCCCGATAGTTACGTCTTCCCTGTGTCCATCCCTCCATGCCCTCCTGCCCCCTGAGCTGTCTCCGTGTGCATAAGCAGCCCTTCTTTCTCCTGAGCTTGTTCTCTCCAAGGAGTGTATCTACCTGAGGTAAATGTTCAACTCATATGCCTGTCTATTGTTTGGCTGGAAGCCACAGGTGTGGGTTCAATTCCAGACCTGAAGGGCAGCTAGTGGCCATAGTCTTAGTGGTTCCACCAGGCTCTATCGGACCAGCAAACCTGGCCCCCCACCTTTTTTTTTTTTTTCCAAATGATTTTGAGTTTTGTTCCACATTGTTCTCCCTCTCTATCCAGGATCTCCTACGTAGATCCTCTTCCAAGTGGTTGACAGTGGTAGCCGGGCACCATCTAGTTCTTCCGGTCTCAGTTGTATAGGCTGCAGATAGGATGGTATACCAGTTGTTAGGACTAATTGTTTCCATGAATTTTTTGTTTTCTTCATTCTTCTTTGCTCTGGATGAGGAGAGACCCATCGTTGCATCTAGATGGCAGCTTACAAGCTGTAAATTCACTTTCCATACAGCAGCTCACATACACTTTCCCATAATGCAACAGCTCCCCTCCCACTTCCTCCCCGTAGTTACCTCTTCCCTGTGTCCTTCCCTCCATGCACTCCTGCCCCCTGAGCTGTTTCCCTGTGCATACACAGCCCTTCTAGTCTCCCATGATCTCTGCAAGGAGCGTATCTACCTATAAATAATTTAGTTTTAAATAATGGTTGTATTTAACAATGTGCTTGAAAAATTCTGGAATATTGAACAATTGCTTTCACCATCTGCTGTGAGCTGGCTCCAGCTCACCACGGGGTTCCTGCCAACCTCCTAAATCCCAAACTTACCCTCAACCAGCCGTCAGCATTCAAAGTGACCATGCTCCATTGAGAGAGTGTATAAAATGGACCATTGTTTTCAGTATTCTGTGTGGGGGTGACATAATCCATAGGTCAATTAGTAGGCTTAGCCATAGCCCCAAGTCTGAGGAAGACAGCCAAGGATCACTAACTTTATAGCCTGCCCACAAAATGCTTCTGAGACAAGAGCTGCAGGCCTTTCTTCTAACCCTCTCCCCCATTTGCCCTATTCTGTAACCCCTTTCATGTTGGGATGAATACATGTATCGTCTATATCAAAGATTCCTTGGATACATCAAGAAATTGAGGGAACCTAAGAAAATGTCAGCAGAAAACTGGACCACGTTTCATGAATCCACAGCAGCTCCTGTCTTCCCCACAGCAGTAGTTGTTTCTCTTTCCCATTTAATCACATCCTCTCTTAGTGATGGGGACTTGTGCCTTCTGATCTCCTAGGTCTTGATTTATTCCACATTGCAATACCCCAAGGTAGAGAACTGGGTTGAGTGGATGGTCTTCATCCTGAAGGCACCATGTCTGTTAGGAAATACGCCTCTCACCAGGCTCTTAATGAATCATGGCTGTCCCTATGGATCATGGTTTTCAACCTTGGCTCAACATTAGAAAGTGGGAGGGTTTAAAACTACTGTTGCCTAGGTCCCACCTCCAGCTTTCTGATTTAATGGATCTGAACTGTGACTTGGATATGGTGAGGAGGTGGGTTAAAACTCCCCAGGTATACAGTTAAGGTTGGGAACCAGGGTCAGTTACTGAGTTGGTCTTTGGATCCCAGTGGTCATATGGCACCAGTCGGAACAATTTAAGTAAAAGAAACTGGGGATGGCCACTTGGGGCACTGTTGTAATAGAAAGAAAAAAAGCAAGAATAGTCTAGACACATTCCATGTATTTGGTTAGCACTTGTTTCTTTATTCAAGCCATCTCTTCTTTGATTACCTAGATCAGCTCTGCCCAATAGAACTTTCTTTGGTGATGGGAATGTTCTCCTCTGGGTCACCCAGTATGGTGGCCATTATCTACATGTGGTTACTGAGCACTTGAAATGTGGCTAGTTCCACTGATTAACTGAATTTTCAATTTAATTTAATTTCAATTTCAATAGCCGCAGGTGGCTTGTGGCTACCACATCGAAAGGTATAGGTGTAGAGTTTGATCGCCTCCCCTTCGTATTCATGAACTGATTCTTAGTTTTTTTTTGTATATTTGAAACTCAAGGCCCTCAGACGTCAAGAAGCCAACAAACCAGCAGCAGTCTCTCCTGAAGCACCAGAGACAATTAACAGGTAATTTACCAATACAGAGAACGTTTACGGAAACTTGCGGGGGTTCTACTTGGAGAAGGAAGTTTGAGGCCTTTCATGGCCTCACAGTGGGTTTTGTGAAGGTTCAATGGGAGTCCTGGGGTGCTGGAACAGTCCACCTGCTCAGCTGCTAGAAACCTCTCGCGAGTGGCCTGGCGATCTACTTCCCAAAAGTCGCCCACTAGCGTAGTGCCTAAGGCACTTAAATGCTAACCAGAAGGCTGGCAGTTCAAACCCACCAGCCACTCCTCGGAAGGAAGATGGGGCAGTCTACTTCCGTGGTGATACTGCCTCGGAAACCCAAGGAGGGTCGCTATGAGTTGGGTCCGACTCGACGGCACCTAACAACACAACAACAACAACCCCGTGGAGCACGGTCCTCTGACACCACACGGAGTCCTAGTCACCTTGACAGCCGCGGGTCTTCCCCACAGTGCACGTGCAGCCTGAACGGGAGTACAACACGCTTCCAACCTTAGACTTTATTTCTCACATGAGTCTGTCATCCCAACACCGAGATACATTATAAACATTCTCTTTTTATCATCCATGGAAACACAAAGGATGGATTCTATAGATTTTAATTTAGAGATGAGTAAAGTAAACTTGAAGGTGAGAAGGCACTGACCTTCATCCAGCTGGTAGCATGAGCATGTTTGCTTTCATCGGAAGGAACCTTACTTTTGTTGGTTTTGTTTGTTTGTTTTGTCCTAATCCATCTCAGTCTTCACAACATAGTGAAGTCGTGGGTCGTTAGAGGCTGAGACCTTTTGAACCTTAGTCCTGGGGTGGGCCTGGGCTGATCAGCCTCGCTCAACGTCCCAGGTCCTCTGATTGCACATCCACGTCTGCACGCTGTGGTTGGAGGACTGTCCCACGTGGTGTGGAGGAGTTTGAAGGGCAAGTGAGATTCCAGAGCAAGGTCATGGTGTTAGCTGTCCCTCGAGGCCAGGCTTGGCTTCTGTGCCATGTGGCTGTGGGGTAGATTCATTTGTATTAACATGAGTCGCTGACACTGAGTGGACATAGTTCTCTAGGTACCAGGCTGTAGGTGCCTAGAGGGGATGACAGCAACTCTGTAAGGTTCAGAGAGTATTCTCACTGTCTTACACTGGAGGACACAAGCTTAGAGAGGTTGGGTAACTTCTTACACAACTGAGGCTTTTCACTATACCTGTCTCCTTGTTCTCCTCAAACACTTGACAGTGAGATCCCTTCATGTGTCATTCTTTGTAAACTAATTTCGTCAAAGGACAGTATATCAGAGACTTTTCTCATACAGTGTATAAATATTTGCTGTGAGTGAACAGTCATCATCCCAGAGCTGAGCAGTGGGGCTGGAACCCAGCAGAGCAGACGTGCAGGGTCCCAAGAGTTGCTGATAGTCGCTGCCTGCTGGGTTGTGGCAGTGCTCAGGAGAACCAGGCAGGGTCTGGGGTCATGTGGGAGGGTGCCAGGGCTCCTAGGAGGAACCTGTGTTCTTCTCCCTCTTCACCTTCTGTGCTTGTTCCCTTTTTTTGGCCCAATTCCTCACCATTAGAAGATAATATCTGCTATTTGTGACAGTGTAGAAATTAGCTGCATTGCTTCCAGCCCTAGGGACATGGTTCTCAGCACCAAAGCTGTTAAACCTGGCTTCCCAGAACACCACCTGAAACTTGGTGGGTACCATCTTGTGCCTTTCCTTTTTCCAGATTCAAAACCCACCACCCTATGTTCTAGTCACATAGTTTCGTCTCCAACATCTGTCTGTTCCCAATAGCGTGTGTGTAATTCAGCATCCAGGACTCCTTCAGATCCTGCCCTGCATCCACCTACGCCCAGTATGGTTTGTTTTTATTTTCAGGAGATGTTTGTTGAGCAGTTGTTGTTGTTGTTATTTGCCGTCGAGTCAGCCCCGACTCATAGCGACCCCTCCTTGGGTTTCCGAGGCAGTATCACTACGGAAGTAGGATTGCCCAACCTTCCTTCCGAGGAGTGGCTGGTGGGTTTGAACCGCCAGCCTTCTGGTTAGCAGTCAAGTGCCTTAGCCACTATGCTACCAGAGCTCCCAGCTAATGTTTTCCTAATCTCTCTTGTGATATTAAAACAGATTCATCAAGTTATCAGTTTTGGGGACCTGATGGAAATGTGGCTATTGACTTGATTGATGGAAACCTAAACACATACAGGTAGGAACAGAATATGATGACTGTATGACTACAGCTCTAATGATTCATTATTTAAGAGATCTGAACTTTTTTTTTAAATTGTGATTTGGGTGAAAGTTTACAGAGCAAATTCATTTTCCATACAGCAGCTCACATACACTTTGTCTCATGACATTGACTGCAATTTACGACAGTGCAACAGCTCCCCTCTCACTTCCTCCCCATAGTTACCTCTTCCCTGTGTCCTTCCTTCCATGCACTCCTGCCCCCTGATATGTGTCCCTGTGGATACACAGGCCTTCTATTCTCCTATGATTATTCTCTCCAAGGAGTGTATCTACCTAGTATAAATGTTCACCTCACATGCCTGCCTTTTGTTTGGCTGGAATCCATAGTTGTGGCTTCAATTCCAGACCTGAAGGGCAGCTAGGGGCCATAGTCTCAGTGGTTCCACCAGGCTCAATTAGACCAGCGAACAAGATACCCGAACTTACCTGTTTATTTCCTGCACTGTTGAGTTAGTATTTAAATTTCAACATATGCAGATGTGAGGATGGCAGGGCTGTTGCTACCAACTGTACCATAAAAGGGGTAGAAAGGTGGGAAAACCCTACTCTTAAGGATTGAATTGTGCCCCTTCCCCCCCAAAATATAAGTGGTAAATCCCATCCCCTGTACTTGTGGTTATAATCCCACTGGGAATAGGTTTTCTTAGTATGCCAGTGAGGCAGGATTAGTGTAGGGGTTTGAGATGGAAAAGGAGATTAAGCAGGTGAGCGGAGGTGGGGGGAGAGATGCCAAGTCTTAGGGAGATCGCCAAGGAGCAGAAGTTCAGCTGAGACCAGGACATTCTTCCAGAGCAGACAGGGAGGGAAAGCCTTCCCTAGGGCCGGCACCCTGAATTCGGACTTGCAGCCGCCTCGCTGTGAGGAAGTGCATTTCTGTTTGTTGAAGGCGCCCACTTGTGGTGTTCCTGTTACAGCAGCTCTAGGGAACCGAGACCCTCACCTTTTTTTTAAAAAAAAAAAAAAAATTTTATTGTGATTTGGGTGAAAGTTGACAGAGCAAATTCCTCTTCCATACAGCAGCTCATACACTTTGTCTCATGACGTTGACTGCAATCCCCCACAATGCAACAGCTGCCCTCCCGCTTCCTCCCCATAGTTACCTCTTCCCTGTGTCCACCCTCCATGCACTCCTGCCCTCTGAGCTGTCTCCCTGTGCACACACAGCCCTTCTTTCTCCCATGATTGAGCTCTCCAAGGAGGGTATCTATCTGATGTAGACGTTCAGCTCATATGCCTGTCTTTTGTTTGGCTGGAAGCCACAGGAGTGGGTTCAATTCCAGACCTGAAGGGCAGGTAGGGGCCATAGTCTCAGGGGTTCCACCAGGCTCTATCGGACCAGCAAACCTGGTCTTTTTTTTTTTTTTATGATTTTGATTTTGTTGTGCATCGTTCTCCCTCTCTATCCAGGATCTCCTGCACAGATGCCTCTCTGAGTTTAGACCCCACCTTTGTCATTCACTGCAGAGTAAGGAGCAGCATGAGTCCAGTTCTCTGCCAAAATGAATTCTGGCCTCAACGTCCCACATTTTCACTGCTTGTCAATAGCCATTGCCATGGCAGTTCCTCTCGCTCTGGCCATGACCCCCCAGCGTTAGGTCGGACCTCATAGTTACCTGTGTCCTTCCCTCCTGAGGGAAGCTGTCTGTCCTGAACTGGGTCAACATCCCTGGTCACCTGCGGCTGGGTCTTCGGGAAGCAGCTGTAGGCTTAGGAGTCTGCACAGCTCCCTGTAGTTCAGACGAGCCAGTCAGTGTCTGTCTGTCTGTCTGTCTGTCTGTCTCTGTCTTGTCCCCTGGGACTAGGTCACAAGCTGGAAGGACTCTATCCTTCTTCAGCAGCGACCTTTCTCTATCACCCAGCCACCCAGAGCTGGGTGCACACAGGCCACCTCTGTCCTGGCAACCCCTGCAGGCTCGTTGCCTCTGTGCATTCATTCATTCTCTAGACAAAACAAACCTGTTGTCATCGTGTTGATTCTGACTCACAGTGCCCCTAGAGGACAGAGTGGAACTGCCCCACAGGGTCTCCAAGGCTGTCAATCTTCACAGAAGCAAAGCCCAAACCACACCCACTGCCGTGGAGTCGATTCTGACAGCGCCCCTAGAGGACAGAGGAGAACTTCCCCATAGAGTTTCCAAAGCTGTCATCTTTACGGAAGCAGATAGCCTCATCTTTCTTCCAAGGAGCTGTGTTGACTTTTCAATTACCGGTCGAGTGCTTAACCACTGTGCCACCAGGGCTCCTTAATTCTCTAGAATAGCTCACAAAATTCACAGAGACCGTTACCTCTACTTACCCATATATTATGAGGATACAAGCATAGAAAGACATCAGGCAAGGTCTGGGAGCATCCTTGGTGTGGGGCCTTCATTGTCCTCAGGGCCTTGCCAGCTCCCCCTCCTGTGCATGGATGGCCTCAGAGACGTACCTCTAAGTCCCAGGTCCCTGAGTCACTGAGACCTCAGTGAACCTGTGTGACTTGGTCTTAGTGCATAAAAAACCCAAACACCAAACTCACTGCCACTGACTTGGATCTGCCTCATAGCGACCCCTCCTTGGGTTTCCGAGGTGGTATCTCTATGGAAGTAGATTGCCTAGTCTTCCTTCTGAGGAGTGGCTAGTGGGTTTGAACTGGCAGCCTTCTGGGTAGCAGTCAAAGGTCTTAGGCACCACACCACCAGGTAAATCTAAGCAAAGAATATGCATGACCGCATTAGGCCCCTCTCCCTTCCTGATGTAAGTTACATTGCCGGGTGGGAGGCCTCTGTATCCCCTACTCACCTGACTATTTTGTAAAATTAGAGCATCTGATGGCCCAGGTTATTTTCAGAAGCCAGAGTCGAAGGGTCAAACCAAGGTCTTTGTCCCACGATAGAGTACAGAGAAATTGGGGCTCACGGAGCTGAATGGAATTCCCAGAGTCTTCTCATTTAGTAAAGTTGTGAATGAGTCTTGAACCCGTACTGAATTCCAAATACTGCGTTGCTCCCTACGGTGTGATTGAAGTTAGAGTCTCGGTGGCCCTCCCATCGTGGCGGGGTCTCGGTGGCCCTCCCATCGTGGTGGGGTCTTCTGGGTCTTGCAGTGTCCACTTCCCCACGGCCGGCTGGTATCTGTGGCCAGCCACGGGCGTGGCCTTTGGTGTCAGGACGGCGGTGACTGTGAAGATTGCATATGCGTCTTGGAGGAAGCACCTGGCCCAGCAGCAGGATGAGAGCTGGTTGACGGCAGGTCCCTTGTTTGACATCATAGTCGACCCTGAGGGGGCCATATCCAAAATGCATCTCCCCCACTTCATCTCCCTCCAATTAGGTAACGAGGGGAGGGAGGAGGTGGTGGGAATTTTGGGGCAACGTTTTGTTCCATTGTCGGGCAGTTCCCCTGAAGAAGGTGAGGTTGATATCTCCTGGTTCCAAGTCACCCATTCCATTGTCATTGTGGTTACTCTGCAGAAGATGAGGTTGACATCTCCTGGTTCCAAGTTGCCCATTTTACGGATGAAGGGATGGTCCTGGAGCAGCCAGCCCAGGTGGAGCCTTTTTATGCTGTCCTCGAAAACCCCACTTTCACTCTGAGGGGAATGCTACTGAGGCTCTTCAGCGGGACCCATCTCTCAGTCCCCATCACCTCCACCACACTGTTGTATTATCACCTTCATCCTGAAGACATTAAATTCCACGTGTACCTTATACCCAGTGACTCCTTACTAACCAAGGTAAGGCTGGTGGCCTTTTGGGTTACAAGAAGGTGAGAATTATATTCCCAGTGATCACCTTGGTCTTTCCAGCCCCTTGTCAAACAGAAAGGACAGGAACAGTTTTAATCGAGCAAAGCATGAATCACCCACCATGCTGTCACTTTAACGCGTGTTTATCATGGCACCCAGGGCAACAGCCGGAGACAGGAATTCAGTTGTACTGAAAAATGAGCTTCCCTTTTCTGACTCTCAAAGAAAGGAGAAAAAGAGGATACATTGGGGTTTTTCAGAGGAAGGACAGTCCACAGACCTCATCACCATGTTTAAAATTGGTCATAGCTGAATTAAACACACACTGAATCATACCATACATTCCACTTTTTAAAAATGTAATTATTTGTGCCACTCTTTTTGCTTATTTATTTCCTTTCCCTTTCCATTTTTTTTTTTTTTTTTTTTTCATCACAGGCAATAGATGAAGAAGAAGCTAGGTTCCATGGTGTGCGTCTGCAAACCTCACCCCCACTGGAGCCTCTGAACTTTGGTTCCCGTTACATCCTGTCTGGTTCTGCACACCTGGAAATAGTTAACCAGGTCAGTGGAATCTGAATTTAATTCAGTAGGTTTCACTATACCTTGTACTTTTGAAACATACAACAGGATCTTGGCAAAATGCAACACTTTGCCCTTATTAATGTCTAATATACCCATTTTAACCATTGAAAATAGAGACAAAATACTATTAATCATACTATGTGTTTCCAAGACCCTAACATAGAGTTAACTTCTTGGCCTTTGATGTATTTATTTTGTGGTTAAAATGATAAACTGTTTCTTCTTTATAACTGACAGTTCAATTTGCCTGGCACCTTGCTTTCAGGCCTGACCCATTGTCCAAGGAAAGCACTGAATGTGTCCGTGTGAAAGTCATGGAAAGAGGAGCTGGTTTTACACTGTGTATTCAGTTCTATGGACTTTTTTTCATTTGCGGCTTTTATATGTGTTCCATATGATTACAATTTTCTTACTTATTATTTTAATGGAGCATAACATGCAATGCAGTGAAACTCCTGAAGCTCATTTCAGTGCTCCACTGGTGTCCTTCATTGAGGTAGACAGAGAGAGACAGACAGACAGGTAGACAGTCGCCAGATAGACAGACAGACAGACAGCTGCTATGAAGTCATCTCCAGCTCACGGAGACCTTTTCTTTCCTTTTTTTTTTTTTTT